TGTTGTGTTAGGTGATAGAGGTGAGTGGATGTGTTGTGTTAGGTGATGATAGAGGTGAGTGGATATGTTGTGTTAGGTGATAGAGGTGAGTGGATGTATTGTGTTAGGTGATGATAGAGGTGAGTGGATGTGTTGTGTTAGGTGATAGAGGTGAGTGGATGTGTTGTGTTAGGTGATAGAGGTGAGTGGATGTGTTGTGTTAGGTGATGATTGAGGTGAGTGGATGTGTTGTGTTAGGTGATAGAGGTGAGCAGATAGTCTGATGTGTTGTGTTAGGTGATGATTGAGGTGAGCAGATAGTCTGGTGTGTTGTGTAAGGTGATGATTGAGGTGAGCAGATAGTCTGATGTGTTGTGTAAGGTGATGATTGAGGTGAGTAGATGTGTTGTGTTAGGTGATAGAGGTGAGCAGAAAGCAACACAACACAAAAGCAAACACCAAACCGTTGACCCAGCCACTGGTGACCTCGCAGGTGACGGAGCAAGGATCCACGGCGTCCGCTGCCACTGCCGTTGCCATGGTGAGGTTCTCCGCTGTGGAAGTGTTGGGCCCGGAGGAGGAGCCTGTCGTGTTCCGGGCGGACAGACCCTTCCTCTTCCTGCTCCGTGACCTCAACAACGGGGGCATCTTGTTCCAGGGCAAGTTCTCTGGTCCCGCCTGAAGATAACCACAGGGGTGGGCGTGACGTCACGTGGCGGGACTCCACAACAAACTATCGTCGGCGTCACAAACAATCCACCTAACTCCATTTGTTGTTACTTTTTACATCAGAGACAAAAGAACTCGTCTTTGCTGTGCTGTTTCTGCCAAAGGTCATGAAAAAGAAGACAAACTGAAAGCCTTGACCATAGCCTCAATCTGCGTCCTGGTCATGTTGGAAGAAAGAGTTTCGAGAAGGTGGAACAATAAAAAATTCTCAAAACTTGTCGTAAAGTGGATCGTTGTGAGAGCGCGATATGAACTATCTACAGAGATAGAAAATGTAAAAATAAACATCAAACTTCTCGCATTTCTTTCAATTGTTTTTGCTTTAAAAAAAAAAGTACTTCCGAACTTGCCCAGGACAAACATCCATAAGGAAATGTCGAGGAGAAAAGTGGTTCAGAGACAGTCGCTCGTCTTTGGGGGTGTCTTTGTAACGTGGAAAACACAACGGTGGGGGGG